AGTATAGTCTGTTATTTGATCGGACTACCAATAATGCTAATAACCATATTTCTATCAGACTTAAGAGTTTCTGGTATTTTTTTGGGGGCCATCGTAGTGGATGTTATTATGATCGTGACGGCTTCGGTAAAGATTTGGACGGTTGACATCGACAAAGAAATTACCAATTCTAAGGAGAGAGTGGATGGAGACAAGGGAAATTCTCGTGATTGCGTTGCCGGAACTGAAACGTCAGCCAATGAAATCAACAATAACCCGACATGTTCTGTGAAGTATGATGCAAATGAAAAGACTGTTCAAACACAGGAGACTGCTACTAGTAATGACGAAGCTAGTGATCCTAATGATAATATTTTTGGAGACTTGCTTGAGGAGGATCAGGGTAGAGATCCTAACGCTGATTTTAGGGAAATAAGAAACGTTTTACTTGCTTTCATTGCAGCTGTTATATTCTGTGTGTGTTTAGCTGGGATTTCCTTGATCAGACAATAAACTGGGCTTTGTTCAAATGGCTTGAATGTTAAACCTCGGGTGCCGATGGTGAATTAAGATTGGGACGTCTTATATTCGAAGGTATATGATCATTGGAGGTGATTTGGTTCTGAATCTGTACGTCAAATCTATTGACGTGTCGAAACTTCCATTATTGTTATCGCCGATGTTTCAATTTTTCAATACCGATGACAATTGACAAACTGGCTAAATTTGAAATATGTAACCGTAGATAAAACTTTTTATTTGTGCACAGTTTATAGAGGAATTTTGAACCTAAAGATAATCAAATACAGTACAACCCTGATTTACCGCGAGTATGGTGGCCACAGAAAGTCAGCATTCCGAGAAATGATTCTATCCTGAAATCGAGTACTCAGCCATTCCATACTTTCTTGGCTACAATGGGGTGGCGCCCTATCTTGCAGTTGCATAAGGACACGTTCATTGAAGTTTGAGGAAATTGGTAAATTTCTAAAACAGCGTTTTTGACGATAGTGGTTTAATTTTAACAATTATTAATCTAGCGTGTTCATAAGTTCTGAACATTAGCCGCGTGACCCATACTCCCATATGCACTGCTCAAAAATAAAATGTATTGCTTTTAGGCACTATTATGTAAAAAATGTCACATTTTTGTGACATTGTTTACCATAGCTGCCCAATTAGCATTTTTTTGGTCTAAAATATAGTAGATTAGGTCAATCTAACAATTATGATACAATGTAGGCCTAAAGGGCAGTGATCGAACGGCTTTAAGGCAACATTTCGTAAACTTTGTCACACTCAGAATACGGGACCTCTTTTCTACTGTGAGGTGTCCTCAAAACCCTTTCAACTCATTATTTGATAGTTCTTCTGCCAATCATAGCCCTAAAATATGTTGTTTTGGAAAATTAACAAATACATGCACTTGGCTATTGGGAAATGATGTAAATTCTGTCACATTATATGGAATTTGAAATTCTGGGTGAATTTCCGAAATCATTTATATCTGATTTTGGTTTGGAAGGCGGGAAAACTCTATATGAGGACGATACACGGATACAGTTGATTGAAGTATAGGGCAGTTGATGTAAACATCGTCACAAAATGATACGAAATCGTAAATGGACACGTTCATGTTGAAGTTTAAGGATATTGGTAAACCAAAAAAAATAACGTGTTCAGAAGTTCTGGACATTAGCCACGTGACCCATACTTCCATATACACGGCTCAGAAATAAAATTTATTGTTTTTAGGCACTATAATGTAAAAAATGTCACATTATTGTGACTGTGTTAACCATAGCTGCCCAATTAGCATTTTTTTGGTTTAAAATATAGTAGATTAGGTCATTCTAACAATTGTGATACAACATTTGGCTAAAGGGCAGGGATCGAACGGTTTTAAGGCAATATTTCGTAAACTTTGTCACACTCAGAATACGATACCTCTTTTCTACTGTGAGGTGTCCTCAAAACCCTTTCAACACATTATTTGATGGTTCTTCTACCAATCATAGCCCTAAAATATGTTGTTTTGAAAAGTTAGCAAATACATGCACTTATTGGGAAATGATGTAAATTCTGTCACATTATATGGAATTTAAAATTTTGGGTAAATTGCCGAAATCATTTATATCTGATTTTGGTTTGGAAGGCGGGAAAACTGTATATAAGGACGATGCACGGATAGAACTGATTCAAGTATAGGGCAGTTGATGTAAAAATTGTCACAATAATAATAAGGGCAGTTGATATGAAAGAAAATCTATCTAACTAATGCAATGGCTGATGTGACGAAATTTACATTTTTTTGAACTTATTTTGAAGGAACATGCCTCGATTAGAATTCAATATTCTTCCAGGAATTATTAGTAGGTTATTATTCAGCAAATCAGAACTCAAGTTTAACAATTCTGAGTTTAATTTTACTAAGTTACCGAAATGTGACGAAATTCACTTTTCCTGCCCCAACAGTATAATTTCAATGTGATGAAAAATGGGCATGGGTTTCTATATTTCCTTATCTCTGAATTAATCATTTCAAACTATAATTAGGACTGTTGATGTGAAAGAAAGTGTATCTAAATTTTACAATGACGTATTTGACAAAATTTACATTTCTTGACCCTATTTTGAAGAACCATACCCCGATTAGAATTCAATATTCTTCCAGGAATTATTAGTAGGTTATTATTCAGCAGATCATCAGAACTCAAGTTTGACAATTCTGAGTTTAATTATACTAAGTTACCGAAATGTGACGAAATTCACTTTTCCTGCCCCAAAAGTATAATTTCAATGTGATGTAAAATAGGCATGGGTTTCTATATTTCTTTTATCTCCGAATTAATCATTTCAAACTATAATTAGGACTGTTGATGTGAAAGAAAATGTATCTAAATTTTACAATGACGTATGTGACGAAATTTACATTTCTTGACCCTATTTTGAAGAACCATACCCCGATTAGAATTCAATATTCTTCCAGGAATTATTGGTAGGTTATTTTTCAGCAAATCAGAACTCAAGTTTAACAATGCTGAGTTTGATATCACTAATTTACCGAAATGTGACGAAATTTACTTTTCCTGCCCCAACAGTATAATTTCAATGTGATGAAAAATGGGCATGGGTTTCTATATTTCCTGTATAAATCCATTCCAACTATAATAAGGGCAGTTGATATGAAAGAAAATCTATCTAACTAATGCAATGGCTGATGTGACGAAATTTACATTTCTTGCCCCTATTTTGAAGAATCATACCTCAATTAGTATATAATGTTACTTTATCACCATCACTATGTCGATAAATTAGTTATTTTGCCAACACGGAGCAAATAAAGTTATTATTTTTTTGTGACGAAATTTACAAATTTTTACCCTGTTCAGGTGTTGAAATTTATCCAATGTTAACATATCACATTATCACTGCCATATAATAATTTATATGACCGGCGTATGGTTGAAATATTGTTAATTGACCCATAGTACGTAATATAGGGTGTTTAAGTTGGTATACTAATATTTACTCAATTTCACACATGTTGAGATATCATACAAATTTATGTGACTAAATTTACCTATTTCTGCCTTCTGTATTTGTATTTGCCTATAACAATGAAATATGTGAACAATTCCAAACACATTCAGCTCACAAAATAATGCTAGACTGTTCGGCATTTCTTGTCAGGATGTCATAAACATCCCTCATATAAATTTCTTAAATGTGTGACAGAGTTTACATGGAGCTACCATTTAAGGAAAAAAGTCGCTAAATATGTAGATAATAGTCATATACAGATATTCTATGAATTGGAAATTCGAAAATTTGGTCAAACACGGCAACAAGGGGTCCATATAAACTCCGTCACGTTTTTATAGTGTGACAAAGTTTACAACTCACTGCCGGCCGCATTTAAGCGATATCTTATCGTCTGATATAGATATCGTTATGCGACAAAGTTTATCTAGAGGATGAAACGATTATCTTAGGGTAAGAGGGTTTATATAGTTTCATAGTGTGACACATTTTAAATCATCGTGCCGTTCAGTAGGGTCACTAATATTTACCAATATCCTCAAACTTCAATGAACGTGTCCATAAACCAACAATTTTTTAAGGCTTTCTTCCTTTTTAGTGCTGGCAGAAACTTCTTCTTCAGTATTTTAATATAACTAACCGTTTTGATAGTTTCTGCTTTCTCACTGTCGCCATCCTCAAAAAAGTAGGGCCCGTAGATACCCTGATAGCCTATCCCCATCCAAACTGTGACCTTTTCTCTTGTCATTGGAGATTCTACAGTAGCGTTGGGACTGGGGATTCTCATCAGCTCATAATCTACAATTCTGTCTATTAACATGGACACTCAGATCAAAGTGGGTCTCATCAGAAAAAATTATCTGCTTTATGAACTGATGATCAGCTTCAATGTGATCAGACATGATGTTAGAAAACTCAACCCTCTGATGTTGGTTTTTTTGGGTTTGAGCCTAACCTGTTTCATTTGAATTTTGTAGGCAAATTTCTTGTGGCGTATCATAACAATAAACAAGCACCAGGGATGGAGCACGTGGGTGGAGAAGACTGCAGTGACCTAAAATTAATTCTGCACGGTGAAACACAATCGTACACGTAATATAGAAGGAACTAGGAAGTAGGATTCACGTACTCTAGAGTCTAGTTAGCTAGTTCGACACGCACTATTGTTATAATTTTGAACCTAAAGATAATCAAATACAGTAAAACCCCAATTTACTGCGGACATTGGGAGAAAGGAAACAGCCGCGATAAATCAGGGTTTGCGGTAAATCGAGGTTTGGTTTGTTCACATTATGTATGTTAAGCCCTATTTGGGGGAAGAAAATGGCCGCGTTGAATCGGGGTTTGCGGTAAATCGGGGCGCTGTAAATCGGGGTTTTACTGTATTCGATTATCTAGGTTCAAAACTCCTCTATAAACTGTGCACAATTAAGAAGTTGTATCTACGATTACATATTTCAAATTTAGCCAGTTTGTCAATTGTCATCGGTATTGAAAAATTGAAACATCGGCGATAACAATAATGGAAGTTATGACACCTCAATAGATTTGACGTACAGATTCAGAACCAAATCACCTCAAATAATCATATACCTTCGAATATAAGACGTCCCAATCGAAATATCTAAATTCACCATCAGCACCCGAGGTTTAACATTCAAGTCATTTGAACAAAGCCCAGTTTATTGTCTGATCAAGGAAATCCCAGCTAAACTCACACAGAATAAAACAGCTGCAATGAAAGCTAGTAAAACGTTTCTTATTTCCTTCAAATCAGCGTTAGGATCTCTACTCTGATCCTCCTCAAGCAAGTCTTCCAAAATATCCTCATTAGGATCACTAGCTTTGTAATCATTCGTAGCAGTGTCCTGTGCTTGAACCAGAGCAGTCTTTTCATTTGCATCATACTTCACAGAACATGTCAGGTTATCGTAGATTTCATTGACTGAAGTTTCTGTTCCGGCATCGCAATCACGTGAATTGCCTTTGTCCACTCTCTCCTTAGAATTGGTAATTTCTTTGTCGATGTCAACCGTCCAAATCTTCACCGAAGCCGTCACGATCATAGTAACGTCCACTACGATGGCCCCCAAGAAAATACCAGAAACTCTTAAGTCTGATAGAAATATGGTTATTAGTATTATTGGTAGTCCGATCAAATAACAGACGATACTCATAGACCATGCTGTGTACTCCTGGGCACCAAAAGCTACGAGGATCCCTTGGTTGAGAGAAACTTGCATGTTATTTACAGGAATACCTAAGTAAGCTACCCAAATCGTTGCCAAAAATAAATCCTTAACGTCACCATCGGAGGAAAACATCAGAACTTCTTCGGTTCTAAAGGAATAGCAAATGAAAGCAAGCGTTGTGGATACTAAAATTGAATTCAGAAGAGATAGCTTCATAAAGTATCGTGTTTTATTTGCATCTCCCTCTCCCAAAGCCATCCCAATGAGAGTAGCTGATGCTCGGGCCATACCATACGCTACGGCCCACCAAATGATTGTTAGCTGATACATTATGATTACCACAGATAAAGCATCCGCCCCGTCGAACTGACTCAAGAAAACTGCTATCTCATAAAGGAAAGATTCTGCAAAACACTCGATAGCTCCAGCCAGGCCCAGTTTAACCATTGGTCCCCAGCCTAACAGGGCACGAGTAGAAAACCCGTTCCAAGAAAATTTACCTCTCCTCACCATGATGAAACAAACTGACAACGACACTGAAAGCGGAAACAGTCGTCCTAAGATAGCAGCCAAGCTTAACCCGTAAACACCAAGCTGAAATACCGTCACTAGAATGTAGTTAAAGAGGATATGACATCCAACCATCACAACAGTGACTAAATACACGAACTTGTCGTACCCCTGGATAGCAAAGTACTTACAAATCATGACCAGGGTGTAATCTAGATTCTCCACCACCAAAGTCATTCTCAGATAAGCAACAGCTATATCTCTATAATCCTCTCCTGGATCACTTAGATCAGGTGTGTCCGAGTACAACCCTGAATCAGGTAACAGGTCTATGATGAACACCAAGTTCAGATATGGACCCGCGATAATTAAGTTGACCAGGGTGCCCTGTAGTAGGCATTTGAAGAGAACATTCCCTAACTCAGATTTCTTCTCAGAGCCATGAACCTGGGGCCCGTATGTGTCAAATATAGAGGAGTATCCGGAGGAAACTGAAGTTACAGCAACATTGAAGAGCGTGTTAGATAGTCCCACCCCTGCCAAGTGAGCCTGGTTCATCTGACCAGCAAAGACCAGGGTTATAAACGCCATCAGGCTATACACACCCGTTATGAAGATAAAGGACGCTGAAAGGCGGAGAAATTCCCATTCTTTGGTAAAAAACGAACGAAGGTTAAACTTAAACATAAAAACCCTGGCACCTAATACAGACTGTCCGTTCGACAATATAACTTCGACTGTCGAACTGAATTCAAGCAACAAGCCTTTACGATCTTGAAATGTATTCATTTGTTTGTTTTCCACTTGTCTCATGCTGTTATCAAATAGCAGTCTTATACATCGCTTTGCAATTGCACAAATGTTATCCAGCTTGTGATTTGGGATTCCTCCCCAGCAACTTATACAATACAAGCTAAGCATAAAGAAAAGGTGCCGTTCTCTAGTGCATAGTGCCGTTCTCCGTGCGGTTCGGTTTTGTATTAGAGTATTATAAAGAACCCTTAAGGTAATTGTACTATAGTGCGACACGTACTCTAGTGCGAAGTCCGACAAAAACACCCTCTGTCGCACTAGTACATGTCGCACTACGATCCAGGTAGCGTACTCTAGTGCGACAAAATATTTTGACTTGTTTCCAAGTTCTGGTCAGATCCTATCCTTCTTATGGACCATTAAGTGATTCGTCGGGTCGGTTCACGTCACTTATTTCGAAGTGATCTTGCGAATACGATTCGTTGGTTCACATCACGTGTTTCGAAGTTATCCACTGATCATAATTGCTTCGGGTCAGTTCAAGCCACGTATGCAGTGTGTGATCCACTGGGTAACTCTTAAGCAGCATATGATCCTCATTCCTATCACACGCATCGTATGAAGGTATATCTCCGATTGGGATAACAAGTTCATATGCTTGGGCCATAAATAAGGTCACGATGATTCTACCAAAGCATCGAACAACATCAACATGTCTTCTTCAATCACCTTCATTCCTGGACGCACTCCTGGTTCAAGAAACGTTATCCACGACGGATACCGCTACTGCCTGGATAAGAATCGCGACGACAAGACCTACTGGCGATGCACTGAGAAGACCTGCTCCGGATGTTTCAGTCTGACGAACAACACTACTGTGACCTGGACGCAGCTGAAAGCAACCCTTCCCTCGGAGATGGATTCCTTTGCTGCCTAGTGACTACTACGAACGTACCTGGGTCGGAACTCAAACCTCCTCTCCCCCTTGATGGGCTGCACCAACCCTACTATATCTGGCGATTTATCGACGTCCTGAAGAAGGAGCAGGATCTAACCCAATGGAAGATCAACCAGAATTGAATATTGTGATTGCAATCTTTGATTTTATATTTAACCCCATTACTCATACACGACTACACTCTTGTCATTAAAAATGGAAAGTAAAATTTTTATTGAATGTGTATTGTGTAAAGTGTTTTGTCGCACTATAACAGTCCAGGTAGCGCACTGTAGTGCGACAGTGTCGGCCTTGAAAATTCTCTGTCGCACTACGATCCAGGTAGCGTACTCTACTGCGACGGTGTCGATCTTGGAGGTTTCGCACTAGGGTACGTGTCGCACTAGAGTACGTGTCGCACTACAGTACGTGAACCGAAAGAGTTGGAACACAAAGTTTCTCTCGTTCTGCTGTTGTTGAGAGAACTTGTTGAACTGAGGGATAGTTTATTGAATCATGCTAAATTTAGATCTTGTTTACGGTAGTTTCCAAATTTTATTTATTTTTATGATGGAAAATTATTTTTAAGAGGGTTAAATCCGGAATTATCTGATTAATTAGAACTGCTTGTAGATATAGCGTGTCAAGTTAATTTCGGCTCATAATTGTGTTTCAATGTTTTAGTATAGGATTAGGATATGCTGTAATTTCTCTCCCTTATTAACCAGTACCATGAATGACTTTCCATGGAAATCTTGGAAGACAAGTGATTGTAAATGACGTCGAGTTAGAGCATGGCAAGACCACTACAACCAATAATCAGTTCTCCCGAGCCAACTCATACCAAGGCAGTTAAGCTGAACCCGACAGATCGAGGCAATCCTCACCTTAACTGATCAAACTGGTACTAACACAATTTTCAGATATAAATGTTTTTTTGCGATACGTTTATTGCAGCTTTGCAACTTGAGTGAAGACCAGAGTACGAAAACACACAGCAGGTAAGCAACTCACTTTTGGTGACTGTTCCTCACGAACATTCTGATCCTGTAACATATGAACAGGGAGATCGTCTCCTTAACAAATCGAACAGGTACTATCACAATTTCCAGAGCACAGCATGATAACAAAGTCAAAAGAAACACAATGAAGGTAGGTTACGAACACCACAATATAACAATCATACTAACAACTGAATTAAATTTATTCTGACAACGGGCAGCCCTGATGTGCTCCGTGATCCTCAACGAGCGACCACTTGTAATAGAGGTGTTATGTCACGTGACGCTGATCCGTCCAATTACATACAGGACGAGTCAGCAGACGGATATTATATCTTCTGTTTACCTTTCTTATCTGTATTTTACCCTTTGTTCACAATGTTTTCTCTACCACAGCTTGGCAATTTCAAGGTGCTCCTATCTGCACCTCAGTACACACGCCATGATTACGTCATGCAGAACTAGAAATTGTGTAATCCGTGATCGTTATAATGTAACCGTGCCCACAGCCCATACAGTACAATGCAAACTGTTGGGGGGGGGGGGGGGGATTGTAGGAACTTATCGTCCAGTCATGAACAGAATATTAACATAATTTTTTAGTTATTTAGGTAGACCTGGTCATTTAAAAAAAATCACTGTCCAGTGTCCACCTCCCTTAAAAAAACAGGGTTCAAATTGACAAGTGGCAACATCTTCGCCACAACTTTGTTTCCCAAAATCTTGTACCGCTTCAGATAGCCAATGGAGCGTTCCACGTGGATGCAGGCGATGCTGACTTTTCTGCTGGTTGCTACTTCTTCCGGCGTGGACTGAGTCTTGCCCCACATCCCCGCTGGGATGTTTAGTGTAACTCCTGAAATTTAATTCGCTTTTTATGCCGCTGTCTAAGTTAAGCAAAGGAGCTCTCATGGATATATGCATTATTCCTTTGCTTCCAGTTGGTGTAAACTTAAAGCACAGTTCATCATTCGGAATCTCACTCAGTTCATAATCGCGACCTCATATTATTAGAGTAAATGTTTTTAATAATACTAATCTCCGCAATTGAAAAATTAAACCGAAACATGCTATAACTAAACAATGTTAATGTTCCGTTCATGATTGAACGGTTAGCATCACAGTCAGTTGGAGGAGCGACCAACACACTATCAAATATCGGTTGTTTATCTTAAACCCCCCCCCCCCCCCCCCCCCCAACAGTTTGTATTGTACGTGGGCAATGGGCACGGTTATATAAGTACAACAATCACACTATTTCAAGTTCATGACGTAATCATGGCGTGTTTACCGCGGTGCAGATATTGCACGCGGACCTTGCCAAGCCGAGATGTGGTAGAGATAACAATGTGAACAAAGGGTAAAATACAGATAAGAAAGGTAAACAGAAGATATAATATCCGTCTGCTGACTCGTCCTGTATGTAATTGGACGGATCAGCGTCACGTGACATAACACCTCTATTACAAGTGGTCGCTCGTTGAGGATCACGGAGCATACAGGGCTGCCCGTCGTCAGAATAAATTTAATTCAGTTGTTAGTATGATTGTTATATTGTGGTGTTCGTAACCTACCTTCATTGTGTTTCTTTTGACTTTGTTATCATGCTGTGCTCTGGAAATTGTGATAGTACCTGTTCGATTTGTTAAGGATACGATCTCCCTGTTCATATGTTACAGGATCAGAATGTTCGTGAGGAACAGTCACCAAAAGTGAGTTGCTTACCTGCTGTGTGTTTTCGTACTCTGGTCTTCACTCAAGTTGCAAAGCTGCAATAAACGTATCGCAAAAAAACATTTATATCTGAAAATTGTGTTAGTACCAGTTTGATCAGTTAAGGTGAGGATTGCCTCGATCTGTCGGGTTCAGCTTAACTGCCTAGGTCATGAGTAGAACCGAAGGATCAAAACATATGTTGCTTGTTGCTCGTATCAACCTGTAAAACATCAATTTTGAGGGATAAGGAAGTGTTTATAGGTTCTGAAACCTAGCTAAATCGATTTTTCGTGCAATTTTAGGTCAGAAACAGTCATCAAAATGAGTTAATAAGAAGGTCGATTTCTCGGTTATTTTTGAGGTTTCGTTCAGAAAATAATTCGGGGCCTTCAAAGGGGGGTAACAAGAAAGCGTTACAAGTGTTACAAGCCTCCTATAATACAAAATGTGTATCACCTCTTCAACCCGCCGAACATGTGCTTACCCTAAAAATGTAAACAAATGTGTTTCACCTCCTCAACCCGCCGAACATGTGCTCACTATTAAAGTAAACAAATGTGTTTCACCTCCCCACCAGTATCCACATCTATAGGTGTGTTCTTTTGTCCTGGTCTAGGCAGGTCTATCCTTTGTAATCGGTCTTCTTTACTGCACTTGGAAAATGTCAGCCTCTTCCTCGAGGAATCATAATACATCGGGTGGAGCGCTGACTTAGACTTGATGATCCGTGGAAGAGGTGACCAATATTCTCGACGCCACGTTCTGATCTCAAAATGGGCCGACTGCAGTGAATAGAATGATGCGATGCCCTACCCAAGAATAATGATGTCACACGGAGTCACGTTGTGACCAAGTACCTATAACAACAACACTGAAATCGTTAAGAATTCTGACCTAAACCAATCCTGACTCAGGATTTGTCTTGTTTAGTTAGTTCGACAGCTGGTTGGCTTCACTAGGTCACGTGGCTTGAGGGTACCCGTGAGTGCCCAGGTTATTTAATGTGTGATACTCGCGCGTCTTGGTAGGTTATAATAACAATATAAGCCTACAGCATGATGATGAGCTCAGTTTCTCAACAATCACATAAAATTTGATGCTCTCTCTCCCCCTCCTTCTTTGTCAACAATACCAATTTGAAAGTTGAACCTATCCCTGGCCCAGTGGCCATTTCACATCATGTGGTCTCGTATCTATCTGATGTAGAAACTAATACACCACAACGCTTTCTTTTGCCGAAGTTCCTCAATTCCTTATATAGGTGAGGTACATCCAGAAATTTTGTAATCCTTGCCATCCTTTGTTAAAGCAATACCACTTTGTGTA